ACACATTTGCAGAGTCAACTCGAAAGACGTTACTCCTCGACACCCCTCGCTACAAGCCGAATGACAACTTCAACCTCGAACCTCCCCGCTGACAGCGCGTCGGCGTCACATTAAATGCTTGGCAAGCGCCGTCATTTCCTCTATCCCCAAAAGTCTTATGAATCATCGGACCACGTCGGCACCGCCACGCCCCCGATCACTTCACATTATATACTGAAATGTCCTCTCCTTCACTCGTTGACCGACACCTGTAAAGCAGATACTAACGTGGCCGACATCCCATACTCGGCCGAAATTACTATTCTACCCTTTTATCACCACTATAAATAAGGGTATTATTTTCAACAATAGGGCAAACAATCTCTCAGAATTCTTCTCCATTCCACTACACATAAGAACTCACACGGATCATTACTTTCTCACTCAAATCCATCACTGACTTGATCATTAGAGGAACAACGGGGGAACAAGTCCTCGTCCTCTTACGAGTTGTTATTTGTGCAGGGAGAAGCTACTCAACTCAAAACCAAATGTTCGGAGAAGTTAGCGGCCCCTAACCAACCTCACCCTCATTTTATTATTTGTGTGATTATTAGGGGCTGTTTGGTTCGCTATTATAAGGGGTGGAAAACTCAGAAAACCCCTGCACGTCAGATTTTTAGCCCTCCACGTCAGCTTTTTTGTTTCCGTCCATTTTTTTGTGCCGCTTTGGTTCGCTCGAATGGAAGAGGGGAAACTCTGCTGAAATCGCCGCCAACTAAGATTTTTTTCCTCTTCGATTTCCTTCCCCAACCAAGTGAAATTGATGAAAACTCTGCCACGTCATATTTTTTTCCTTCTCTGTTTTGTTTACAAAAGTTTTCTTTTTTTCTATGCGAACCAAACACAAGAAAAATAAATACATTGGTTTCCCACCATTTTTTATGTGCGAACCAAAGCAAAACAATCTATTTCATTTTTTATGTGCGAACCAAAGCAAAACAATCTATTTCTTGGAAAAGTTTGGAAAACTCAGAACTTGTGTTTCTTTACATGGAATTGCATTTCTCTACATCAAGGAAACGAACCAAACAGCCCCTTGACATCAACAGGGTTAATTACAAAATAGCTGTTGGGGAATTGTAGTAAACCCCAAACACCTCTTTTTATTACACTAAAACCACCATGAATTTCTGGGGAGTTGCGCATAACCTTCGTGAGCTGTTTTGTTTTACAAAATTTCACATAAAAAATCCTCATTTAGTTTACAAATCAACATCATTGTTTCTAACATCTCATGTGGCAAACATGTGCCAACAAAATCCTCGTCCAAAAAATTACCTATTTTACATTTTTAATAAAAGTATATTTTTAGGACTATGTTATACCCCTAAAATTACTAAATATTAATCTTCACAGAGATATCAACTTGTGTCTTACGCTATACCAAACCCGACTAGTTCAAGATTAAGATAACCTCCACCTCAGCACGGCCGACTGGGTTGGCCTACATCTCGCATAACCGAGTCAAAAGACGATGTTTCTCGGCCAACCCCTCAATTGATTCCACAAGCCACTCGACTCGGCTTGCTGTTTGGCCGATATCTCACTTAACCGAGTCAAAAGGTCGTGTTTCTCGGCCCTAGACCTCAGGAGTCAACAAGATGACAATTTCCTCTAACAACATCATTATTACTCTAACAACATCATTATTGCTCTAGCCTCTATAGTCTTTATGATTCATCGGACCCAATCAGTACCAAGCATCTGCTATCATTCTCATGTTAAATGACCGGGTGACTCATCTCCTTCAGCAACCAACACATAACACATGTCTGCCAACTCAACTGTTTAGCTAGACTCAGCCCAAGTTACATTCTTGCCCCTCAGACCCACTATAAAAGGAATGACACTGCATGAGGTAACTCTCTCTGGTTTTTTGGACATAACTATGAGATAATTCTATATTTCCCCACTCAATATCGTCTACTAACTTGATCGTCAGAGGAACAATCGTAGAATCCAACTCCACACTCTTACGAGTTTTTTCATGCGTAGGAAAGAACAACAAGCCCCAGAACCATTCATCAGGAGGAGTTAGAGGACCCCAATCACTCCACAAATTCTCAGATAACATCCTATTTGATAACATGACATCAACGGACTAATAAGGGAATTTTCGTCTTTTTTGTCATGTGCTTACCAGTGACTCGTTTGAGTTATTGGCGCTAATATGGAGATAAAAAAAAATAAAAAATTCACATAAGATTTAGCGAAATAAAACAGTTCATGGTGGTTATGTGCAACTCCCTAAAAGTTCATGGAAGTTTAGTGTAATACAAGAAAATTTGATGGGAGTTTACACAACTCCCTAAAAGTTCATGAGGGAAATTCTGCAATTAACCCTAAAATCAATTTGAAAATAAAATTGACTTTGTATATTAGTATAGTTATCTATTCATCTAAAGGTTAATTTGATATAAACCCTTGAACTTTGGGGTGTCTCACATTTCAAAAGTCTATTGAGCTTTAATCTCATCGCATCTGAACCTTTTTATCTATAATTTATAAATAACTAAAACGTCGTTGAGAGTAAAATATCAAATATTTACTTATCATTTACTAGGAACATATCCCTCTCCTAATTTTCAGATTTTACTCTCCCAAGGATTTTTTAGTTGTTTGCATACATATAGAGGGTGCGGTATGAAAATTTCAAAGTTTACAGAGAGTTTTTAGAGATACTCCATAGATTAAAGAGGTAATGTGAGATAAACAAACTTCCAGGAGGTTGTATCCAACACCCCTCTATAAAGTTCAAGGGGAACTTTGTGAAATTAACCCTTCATCATATTTGACTTGCAGCGTAATTCCATGTAGAAATTGAAAATAAAGAATAACAATATTATGCAATTGAGTTATTAATTCCAACTCTGATAAATTTTTTTATTTTTACGTTTGCATCTAAACAAATTCTTAATTATATGAAAATACGTTTTCTGCAGTTTAATATGCAAATCCTATCTTACAACTAATCAAAGTTGTATCTACATATGCAAAACAATTTGTTTTATAACAAAAATAAATGATTATTCAAATATCATGCTTGAAGCTAATTTTATGCACCAATTTTTTTGTTAGACGTAAAATTTGGTGTATTCACAATCTTAGCATAGCAAACTACAAAATTTTGAAAAGGATGACGTTTCAGGTACACCCTCGGTCACACTACCGACCACCCCCCCTATTGCTACAGTGCAAGAGATCCCATTTGAGACTTTTTTAAATCTCAAGTGGGCCCTCCCGCACTGTAGCGAGAGGGGGTGTGGCCGGTTGTGTGACCGATGGTGTGTCTATATCATTTTTCTTAAAAAAAAATCTTAAGTGGGACCTTCTATACTGTAACGAGAGGAGGGGTGGGGTCGATGATGTGCCGCAATTATTTTTCTTTTGAAATTTTTTCTTTCAGATAGAACTAGAGATATTTTCTTAACAATCATGATAAATCATCATGTCACACAATGGCACAATATGTAAAAACTTACAAACTCAAAGCCCTATCTGAGAACTCTCATAAACTCCACCGACCCCACGAGCTCGTGGACGTCACGTACGGCGCTCTCCCTCCCCTGCCATCCAACTCACCACTCAGAGGGCGCGCTTCTGCTCCCATCTTTCTTTTCATTTTCTCTCTCATTTATACTTATTATAATAATATTTTCATTATGGATAATTTTCACGAAACCCCCTGGTTTGGAGTGATTTCAGTGACATTGCTAAGAACTTTGAAAATAAAAGAAAACCCCTCAACATTGGAGAGTTTCGCAATGTGCTACCAGCCATTTGAGAATTTGTGGGGGCTAATAGAACTGGAGAAAACATGAAAATTTTAGGGGTATACTTTATGTCTTGTTTGGCAAATGTTTAAGAAGGGTTAATTTAGTTATTTTATATTTTATAAATTAAAGTAGGAGATAACTTTTCTTAGCCCCTCACTTAATCAATTGCCAAACAACTAGTGTAGCCAAAATATATCCATATCTGAGGATTTATCTATATACACACCCGTCAGAATGTAAATATGGTTATTGATATCTATATCTGATAGGATATAGTTATAGATACGATGAATATCCATATCCATATCTAAAATATCAGAACGTATATTAGTCATACAATTGTAATTATTTTAATCTTTAGATCAACGTATTTAAGGTTTATTTTGATAATCAGGAGATCTAATCTTAGATTTCTAAATATTAATTAACTCTCTTGTATTGCCATGAACTATATTCTTTTCTATATTATATGGTTTTCTCATATCTATTTTGTATTTGCATGTATACTGTAACCATATTTGAATTTGGAGGACATGAATATAAATTTTTCTTAGCGATGTATAGATGTATCCATATCTGTGATTGATAAGCAGCTATGAATATGGTAAGTATTACATCCGAGTGGTATATGAATCGTTAACACCCCTCCAAATAAAAACATACAATTTTACTAAGATATTGTATGTCTGCTTGTGTTTATTGAACAGAAACAAGAATAGTTATTGTAGCCATCATGCTATTATAGCTTTTTTTTATTTTTTATTGTTCGGTTGTCATATATCACGAGTAAGGTTGCACTCCGAAATCTGACGTAGTAGCCTTTGATAATTTTTCTCCAATTTGAAATGATTTTGCTTGTAACTAATGTATATAGTTGTCTTGTCAGTCATGAGTAGGATGCATCTTTTTTAGCCACGTTAACTTTCCAAGTTATCGTGTTTCAAAAAGGAATTTTAGAACTCAACATAGGTTAATATTATTTAAATTTTAAATATCATTGGAGTTTAATGCAAAACACTCCAAAAATTCAGGGAGCTTTAGGAAATTCACCACTTTTATTTGCCCGTTTTCACCACTCTCTCTCTCTCTCTCTGCACTGACTGACCATAATTGATTGCAGCAGTAGAGAGAGAAACAAAGCAAGCTAGAGAGAGAAAGTGGAGAGAGAGAATAAGAAGGTGTGCAGGGTCCTTTGTATGTAAAAATGGGGGCCGCGGCTCAGACCACCAACACCCCCAAACCCCCAAACGGCATGGGCGGTCACCTCACCCCCCACCCACTATTTCTACCCATCTCCTCCTCCTCTCCCCCCTTCTTCCTCTTCTTCTCCTTTTTACTATTCCAGCGGTAAGGTTACCGCTCTCTGCGGGGGGTAGAAACCCACCAATGGCGGCCGATGGGGCTGAGATGGTGGCCCCGGCTCCTCGCTCGCCGCCCAAGTACCCTGATTTCTGCGGGAGGAGGAGGCTGCAGCTTGAGGTCCAGACAATGAATCGCGAGGTTGGGTTTCTTGAGGTAGTTCATTGTTCCCCTTCTCTTTCCTTTTGTTACTTGCTGAGCGAACTCTCGCTTGTGAGTTATGAGTTTAAGATTTTGATGACAACCCACCTCTTAGTTTGCGTTGTAAATAACTAAGGATACTTGCATTTTTATTTTATGGACATTTGGTTCAGTGAGTTCGTAGTGGAATTGGTGGGATTAGTGCTTCGTACTTTACCTCTAGCCATGATTGTATTTTGTAGCGAATAAAGCTCTTTTAAAGTCAAATATATTTTCTTTTACCAAAATGTTTTCTTATTAGGGGAAAAAAAAGCTAAATGACTTCACAATAGAGTTACCCATGTTTATTATCGACAAAATGAAAGGCGGAGATGCATTAGCAAATGTTAGGAGCTACTATTGATGAGTTGATGAGTAGAGGATCCCAATCCTTATTTTATACCCATAATGGCCTTGTAAAAAATATATATATCTTTTGATTCGGGAGTTTGGCCTTACCAGTTGAGTGCACGGATGAGCGCTATTGATAAACTGCGGAAAATGGTCTGCTATTAAATGAAATGACATTTTTGGGATGGCGATTTTGAGTTTGGCAGTTTCTCCTTTGAGTGCAGCAGTTTAACTTTAATATGATGTAGGTATCTTGATGAAATATTTGTTTATGTGCACAAATAGAAAGATGAAAAAGAGGAGGTAGGAGCAAAGGGCTAAATGTCAATACTCTCTAATTAAACAGAGGTTGGTGTAAATGTCAGCTGAAAGTTTTGGTGTCACATCATACATTGGGTGGTTGGAGGTGGCTGAGTTGTAATGTTGGTGAAATTGAAGGTTGTTCTGTATTTTGCCTTATTCTTATTGCATTTCCCCCTCTAATATAGTTTTAATTCTGGTTAGCGCGTTGTTCGAATTTTTCAACATCCCTTAGATTTAGTAGAAGAAACAGGAGGGACTGACCGACTGACAATATTCTTTTCCTTGTATTTCTTTATTCTTATGCAAATTGACTGAAATATCATGATAATTTTCATGTTAGCAGGAGGAGCTACAATCATTGGAAGGGCTTCAACCAGTTTCTAGATGCTGCAAAGAGTATGATTCCTTATAATTTGTTTGTAATGTACAATGCAGTTTTATGCCCTTAGTATCAAGAGCTATCTTAGTTAGCATTTGCTCATCTGAGAAATGAGATTTAAATACAATGTTTTAATCATATAACATCTGAGAATAAGCATGCCCTGTTTTTACTTTCATGCCAGATTTCGGCTTGATGAAAGGTAAGTATCTGCATAAAGCTGACAATAATCTGTTGTTTGTTTTCTTTTGTGCTACAAATTTATGGCTCTCGATACCACCCTTGATCAGTATCTAGGGTTAATATATTGTATCAGTTAAAATTATGACATATTATGTACAAGTTTTCCCTTTCTTCCGATGATTTACATGAAACAGACATTGGTTTCACTAGTTTACGCAGATATTGCTCTTTAGCAGAGGAACTTTTACGAGAATTTATGAAAGAGATTGTACTTGTCTACCTTATGTTTTGTGTTTTAGTTCTGTAGTCCAACCACGATACTAGCTAGGGAAGCTAATTATTCAATCAAAGAACATGCTCTTTCTGATTTGCTTATAACATGTTCAAATTTAAAACCTTAAAAGACGGAGGTATACCTGTTCTGATGTAGCTTCAGAGGAGTGATAATGCCACTCTTATTCGTTGATTAATTGTTCCTCTATAATGTATCTAAATGTATTAGCAAATATTATTAAGGAAGCAACTAGTTGATACTTAAGTATTTGTTTGGTTACCTACAGTGGCGGATCCTGAAAAGCTTTCTTGGCGCAGGGGCCGTGGGGGTAAATATTTATCTAAATATAAAAAATATAATGGTTTAATTGCAATCAAATACCCTATAGTTTCACCTACTTTTCACATATATACCCCCAGTTGTATTTGGTTGCACTTAATACCCTCGGTTATGCAGAGGTGAGGATTTCCCCTGGAAAAATTCTCATGCAACATATAATAATTGCAAAACATTTAAATAAACTAGGATTCGTTTAAAATAGGATTTGATAGAATTAACAAGGAAGTAAGGGTGAAAATGTAATAAATTTAGCATGTGAGTGTCGCAAGAGAATCTCCACGGAATATTCTCTCGTTTACAAAAGCAAGGCTATATAAATACAAAATTTAATATTTAAGTGCAGGCAAATACAACTGGGGTATATATGTGCAAAGTAGGTAAACTATAGGATATTTAAGCGCAATTAAGCCTAAATTCAAATGGGTAGCTAATTAGTTAGTGATTACAAACAAGGGTTAGGGTGCAAATATTTCAAATATTTTTTTTTTTTTTTGGGGGGGGGGGTTGCAGATTATAATTTTGGAAGGACTCAAAATTATAATTTTATTTTGTTAGCACCTACTATTATATGTATAAAAAAAGACTCATCAATTCACTTACTTCATTTATTGTGTTATTTTTGGCAGGGTTCACGAATTTGTTGGAACAAATCCAGATCCATTAGTACCCCCGTATGTTCTCTTCATATCTTTTACTTTATTACCATTATATTTGTATGTGTCACATTTATAGGCCTTTTTTTGTTTCACCAGGAATAAGAAGAAGCGCAAGTCCTGTCGCTTTTTTAGATGGCTCGGGTACATTCTGATCTCTCCTCTATAGCTATATTTCCATCATAAAGCTCCTCGTTTAAAATTTGTTGCTGATCTTTATTAAAGTAATTCATAGTCATATCCGACAGGCTATGCTAACAAGCAAATTAAATGGGTAAGTTGCAAAGTCATAAAGTGCCATAGAGGCCGAGAACAAAAAGTTATGTTACTAACGGCATTTTAAAATGATACATAGATGTATTTTCTCTAGTAGAAGTTCGTATTAACTCTTTTTTCCTTTTGAGTGCGAACTCTTGTAGTAAATTGATGATTACACTCTATCTCTGTTCGGTTTTAACAAGGAACCTGTCCTGCTTGTGCCTATCGATACGGGGGAACTATATAGCTTTTTCTTATGAGTTTTTTCGTAATTAGATTCAGGATGTGACTTGTGTAGTTTTTTTATTCAAACTGCTGCTTACATTACTGTAGCTCATGCATGTTCTTGAAGTTGCTACACTTATTAAAGTTATTTATGCGAAAACTCATGAATTGTTTGATGGTCTTATTTACGTCTGGAGTACATTTTGAGCTGCGCAACTTATGTTTCAGTAGTATAACTTACATGAGACACTTTTAGAGGATGTTTTGTACGGTGCAACCATATTTGTAATGGTGTTTTAATTGCATGCAAGTGCAGTTGTAATTGTTGTAATGTGTAATTATAGTTGCATTTGTTTGGTTAGTCACCCTGCTAATTAAATAACTTTAACCACAACAAAACTCGATATCCCCATCTGTCTGAACTAGGAGATTGTGTTTCTTCCATTCTTTACTTTCTAATCCAAAAATCCATATCGCTATGTTTTAAAATCTTCCCGCCTAGTCCGCCTAGGCGGTACCTAGGCAGCCTAGGTTCTGATTGCATAGGCCTTGAGAGTGCCTAGAGGAGTGGAGACCGATTACGCAGACTGCATTGTTAGATTTTGGTCGTGATTTCCTCTGTTGTTGTCGCCACGTCCTGTTAACTTTCTCCGAAGTCCTCAATCTCCTCCACCGACCACCTACTCCTCCGACCTCCTCCGACCTTTAGCAAAACCTTTTCTGTCACCACTTAAAAAAGAAATCCTGCTAGGTCTTGCGTATAGACGTTAGGCGCTAGTTTAACACTTAGCAATGCCTAGTGCTTTCGATAACATTGACTATAATAATAATAAAAAACGCCTAGGCCACGACTTAGGCATAGGGTTTGATGTCTAGGCCGCCTAGCTCTTTCTGTAACCTTATTTGCTCAAAGGCTACAGGATCTTACCTAAAAATTAAAAAGAAGCCAACAAATCTGGTTTTTTGATACCAGCAAGACATCTCTTCGTTCTGTTTGCTCGTGTCTTCCATCAACTTGTCATCTGTAGCCCACACCCTGATTCTTCCCCAAATTTACCCATCTGACTTGCTTTGGAGAGGGTTCCCTCCATCTCCACTACGAAGGACGGGTCGTTCCAAGACTTTGCTCAGCTCTTACAGCCTTACACTGCACCTTTAGCTTCTCTACCATCTCCTTTTTTGGAAAAAACCCAATCTCTCGATTGTTATGAGGCAGTACTTTTTGGCAGTAGCTTTCCAACAAAACCTCTTTAAGCCGTAGAATAACCTAAGAACATGCCCTTTGCTACCTGTTGACCTAACTTGTATCACTTTTGATTTACATGATGGGTAGAAAAAGGAGAGGAGAGATGTGGAATCTGGTTTCTTTGGTTTGGCTATAAGTTTTGGTCTAGGTATAATTGGTTGGGTAATACTAACCATATTACTAACTTTATACTACTTTTCTGCTTCAAGGTGCAAACATATGGGACCTTAGAGATAAATGTTTATGGTAGCAATTCAAAAGACCCAATATTTTGTGTCATATACAGTACGAGAGGAAGTATGTAACTTGTATTAGCTAACACTATCCGATTGGGTTTGGATTAGGGATGAGGCCAGGCAACTGTATAATAGAGATTAAAGAAAGTGGGGAGCGTGGGGATGCTGGGGGTTGTAGAACAACCAACGACTGTTTAGCTGGAAAAATGATTTGATCCTGTAGATGGTAGTCAGGTTTTATTTATAAGCAAAGCAGCTAAGAGTATAATTATTTCAATATGAGACTAAACAAACTTCTGTCTTCTGCACTCTAGTCACATTTTTGTGATAGTACTTCAATATCCAATTACCTCGTTATCGCAAACCATCAAAATTATCATTTCAAAGCATGTTCTCCTGCAATATAGTATCCAAGTACTGACCAATTAGCAAAACGCATGAATCTCATTTTCCCCAACCAGATCAAAGTTCTGCTGCTGCCTTTCCTGTATCTGCTGCTGTACTGACTGCAAGAAGCCAACCTGCACCTGCTGCCCAAGCCTCAAGGATCTCTGCTGCTGCAGCTGCTCTTCCTGCTGTAAACTTCCTCAGTCCTGCTGCTGCAATTTCTCAGACTGCTGCTGCAATTTCTCAGACTGCTGCTGCAATTTCTCAAACTGCTGCTGCAATTTCTCAAACTGCTGCTGCCCATTGAATCGTTGCTGCTGCTGCTGCAAACCATCAAAATGCTGCAGCTGCAGCTGCTGTGAAACTTCCTGCTGTAAAATGCCGAAAAGCTGCTGCTGCTCCCCGACGATATCTTGTCCGGAGTATTCATGTGGGTGCGTGTTCGATTGCCCGAAGTGTACAGAGGTACGTCTCTGTCCTAAGTGTAGTAAACCCTGCTGTGTTACTGGATGTTTGTGTTGATATGTGGCTATGGTTTTCGTAGGTTGTATTGTATTCTGACGATTATATTGAATATAAAAAATTTTTGTCTGCCGAATATGTTACTTGTTTAGATTCAGGGAAAATATCTTCATGTTTCTCTGCTTTGTTACTGTATGTATGTTGATGCATATGGTTTTTGTAATTCATTTCTGTTTAGTTTTCTTTTGGTTTTGTAGGCTGTATTGTATTCTGATATATGATATTGAATATAAAAGTTGTCTACAAAATTTGTTGCTTATTTGGAATTAGGAAGGACGTTTTGGTGTTCTTTTTATCAAATATGACTTACATTAATTTAAGTTCCTTATTGAATTTTTTTTTGCTTTATTAATAGTTCAATTTTGATTATTTTTTATACGTTATCCTGACTGCTAATAGACTTCTAGTTATTGTACCTTATCTGAAATTTTGATTACTTTTTGCCTTTAGATTATGAATTATGGATTTGGATCCTTTTCAGTTAAGATGATAATTGTTGACGGTCCAATTACTCAAATCATTGCCGTGTATTTCAATTTCGGTAGATTGGATGTGGCATGCTATTATGAATTTTAATGCCTTGCATACCGTAAGGTTGGATATGTATCAAAACATGGAATAAAAGCTGCGACAATTTCTCTAGCATGAGAACCATTAGATATAATACCATTTTAGAATCTGCAATATGTATAGTAGTATTGTATTCGTATGCAACTAGTGTCTCCTTAGGGGTTAATGGTCGGGACATTTGGGAGGATAATGAGATATTTTTGAGCATTCTATTTCATAGTGTTATTTATTAAGACAATAGAACAAGGATACTACCTTTTAGTGTTATTGGTTTATTGGAATACTAGTGAGACAATTTCACCATTTGAGATAAAATTATCCGACTTATATACAAATATTTTGTCCCAATAGTAAAAATTTATTTCATCCTTCACATTAGAACAATTATGTTCCACATTGAAAGAAATTGGAATAATTTTAATTTTTTTTGTATTACTTAACTACGTACTAATTATATTATAAATATATAACATGATATATAAAATATAAAGTAATAATATATTTATTATATTATCATATAATAGAATAAAATATTATTATAGTTTAATTTATATGTATAATTTATTTTATTATATTTATTATATATTATTATGTAATATCGCATACTATATATTATATAATAGCACAACATATTTATTATTAATATTATATAATATTTTAATAGTATATATTATTATATAATATATTATATTGATTGTAGTTTTTATTTTATTGTAGCAATTATATTATATTGTATTATATTAAGCCAATATAATAATATAATTTAATATAATATCATATTAAAATTAATGAATATGTTAGTATATTACATTTAACTATAAAATATAATATAATAAAAATAATGTCATGTGATCATATTATATTATCTTATATTAATATAATAAAATATATTATTGTGCTATAATATAATATGTTTTAGATATTTTTTATATATCATAGTAATTATTATATAATATTATACTTTGTTTTAATTACAATATAGTATCTTAAATAATATTATATTGAATGAAAATATTATAATATTTTATGCAATAAATTTTAACCTATGACTCTATTCTGATATATTAAATTAGATATTATATTAAATATATTGTTTGTATATTATATTAGTTATTATATATATATATAACATACTATTATAATAATTACTAATATTTGTAAAATAATATTATATTAGTTATTATATATATATATAACATACTATTATAATAATTACTAATATTTGTAAAATATTATGATATAATATAATACTATAGTTTGAAATTGTTATGGTGTTTCCATTCGCCAAAGTGCAACTCATTGCCAAGTAACGGACATGTGTATTTCTGCATGCAAAGCCCCAATCAAATTAGTAGCCAAATACCAACAAGAGGATCCTGGCTTAGCCGACTCGTCGAGTTGACATCCCTTATGTCGACTCGAAAGACGGTACAAATCGACACTCTTGTCAGGGACTCGAAGAGCCATTAATCGACAGCACTCGACTCAGAGACCATCGACAACGTACTCGCGGTTAGAAGGAAATTCTACCTCGAGCCTCCCCCTGACAACATGTCAACATTGCAGTTAATGCATGGCAGACACATCATGCCTCTAGCCCCAATAGTCTTCATTACTCATCAGACCACGTAGGCACCGCCATGTTTCCGATCACTTCTCGTTTAATGTTGAAGTGATCTCTCCCCCAGTCGCCAGCCGAAACCTGTAAAGCAGGAGCTGACTCAACTGCCAGCCCACACTTTTTCATCGTCATCTTGTGCTCGGCCACAATGTCGGTTCTATCCTTATAACATAGAGAAGGTTCTGAATTTTGAATCCTTTAGTGCAAACTATATTGCACATAAGAACTCACACAGTTCTTCACTTTCCCACTGAAGCTAACCAGCCGATTTGAGTGTCCGATGAACCATGGAGGAACCAGTCCTATTTGTGACACGCGAGATTGGCCGCACCCCCATATTGCTTGCCAAATAGCAATGTTCGAAATACTCGGTCCCATAATTTTTGCAGTCCAAGCTGGGCCGTATAATTATATTCCTTTACGGTTAGGTACGTAAACGCTGAGCCCAGCTCAACCCAATCTTTTCACGCCCAGCTCGATGCCCACGTTTCCTCATCGCATATTTTCTCCTCTTGCTGCAATACCACAGCAAACGTGGTCGCGCCACGAACTTTTCAGGATTGCTGAAGCGTGGCTGCTGATACTATAACGCGTTCAAATGTCACGAAACAAGAAACGTCTTCATCCACCCGTTCCTGCCGAAGCTTGGACCGTGATTGCGCTATTTAAGATCTTCATCATGAACAAACACGCTCCGTAGATGACTTAATATATTGACCACATATCTTTACTCGTAAATATGAAGAAGGTCAGTGGCGAATACCAGCGAGCGATAGCGAATCATAGATACACATAATATTAATCGTCTAGCCGACGCCTTCGAATTGTCAGGATCTTGCCTCACACCAAGGTCGAAACGTTACCTCATCCTCCTCAATCCTCATCATCTCATCCCCTTGCGGCACAACAAGCAAACCCGAGCCCGAACTCCGCTCAACTACAAGTCACGTGTCCCCGACACCACTCCCTCGTCCACGCTGCTCCCGCTCCTCCCCAAGCACCTGGGCCGCCCGGGCCGTATTTATATCGAGTACAATAAGTCGCCTTGCTTTCGCCGCACCTCACCCCTCGCAAGCCTACCCGTACGCCGCACCCGCCGCCTCTCCGTCGCCGGCGATGCGCGCCCGGACTCACAGACCTCACCTCCCTCCTTACTCGCATCTCCCCTCGTCGCGGCATCTGCCTATCCAGACTTCCCTACCGTGCACGTCGCGTCTGAACGGGCATCTACGTATCAGCGACGGAGGTCTGCGACGACACCGGGCCTCTCCCTTCGCGTCGAATTGGGACAGGAAGTCTGTTTTCAACTTTAACAGTGTAAAAAATGGTGGCGCAATTCTTCGTTAAGGGGTACAGGCGGACGAATCGCCACCCGTGACGGGACCGAAGGACTCGAGGTCGCCGGACTGGGATACGAGGGAAGCCGGATCCACACTGCGTTCCAAGCCGCTGTGGCGGCGGTGAGAGGGCGGATTTAAAGCTAGCGAAGGGAGGCGAGGGGATGGCGACAAGCGAGGATATGCGGCTTACAAGATATGCTGGGACGTCGGGAGTTATGATCGGATCTTCTGCGGCGAAGGAGCGGCGGCGATTGGACGGGGTCACGTCATAAAATACTCGTAAGAGCAATGTAACGCCAGAGTTTTAATGAGATTGATCGCCATAAGGGCGTTCGGGCGGTGAGCAATGGGGTGGTCGATTAGTGCTCGGTGGGCATTCGAGGCCCGGGTGTGACGCCACAAACGGCGCGCCGGGATCTTAAGGTTGGGGCTTCGACGATGGAGGGAGTTCCTGGCTGATGTTAACTTGGTGATGGATCGTCGCTGTTTGCTCTACCGCGGGTGAGCCGTTGATTCGTTCGAAATCTCCCCTTTGGTCGCACGGAGCTGATTGTGGGTCCAGGATGTGATACCCGGCGAGCTATCTCAAAATGGCGGGAGGATCGTGCTGCGCGAGCGTGGT